TGTCGTTATTTTACCGATTTAACTTGATTTAAGCGTTTTTCTTTTTTAATCCTGGTTTTCTCTTCTCAAAGAGAAGGCAAGTGTTTGACCTTGTCTTCTCTTTAAGAAGAGAAAACCAGGATTAGAATTAAAAAAACCCGCTTAAATCAAGTTAAATCGGTAAAATAACGACATCAGGAGCAAACAACACACTTATGGAATGAGGTAAGCCATTTTTATTTAAAATTTTTCACTTTTAACTATATATCTCCATGGATATCTTGTAGAAAATCACATGAAAATCCTTCTAAATCGATATGCAAATTGTGTTCCTTGTGTGGTTCTTAAAGAGAGCTTGGGTCGCCTGTGATTTCAACAAAAAAAACACCACATGATCTAAGCGATTTCTCATTCCAATGCATTTATCAAGTGCAGGCGACCGTAAACAATTCAGGTAACATCGAGAAACTTTTAATTACCAAAGAAGCATATTGGAGCGCACAGTTGTTCTCTCTGGCACCTTTCGGCTTGAATAAGCGCCGGGAATTTCACTCCAAAAAAAGAATAAACTATGATTAATGTGGAAAATTTTTTCAAATAGGGCGGGCATCAAAGGTCCCGGTCTCAGTTTTGATTGGGAATTTTGGTACAATTCTCGCCTTATTTCAACGCTAGTTCCTTAACATTTTCAGTGGATGCGACAATTTTTTAATTTCTGTGTTTGTTTTTCTCGTAGATTGCGATAATTTTTCGCGTAGTTATTACTGTTTTTGTTAATACGTGTCATCACGCCCTCTTTGTAAACCTATTTAAGGAGTTTGTAAGTTATTGCATTACAACTGATGAAGGTCTCAGACCGACACGTTTTTTATTCAACTTTTTAGATTTTTTATTGAGTATGTCTTTCTTCGCGCGAAGTTGTCCGTCCTCGTGTGCCACTTCGCTATGCATTCAAGCGGTTCGGGTAAACGAAATATTCATGATCAGCTGTTTACGGCGACTTACATTTTTTTTAAAAAATTTAAACGATCAAACGTTGATGTTAACTGTTTACCGGCCAAAAATTTAGAAATTTTACCAGTTTTGCCCATTGTCCAATGTCCAACAGATACACATGCATCGAACAATGTTACTTTGTTTTAATGTTACGTTTGCCTGATATTGTATATCCGCTCGCAATGAGCTGATCCCTTAAGTTTCCTTTACGTCACTAACACGCATACTCTTGGTTTACTTGCGCACGAAAGCAATGAGCTGTAACAGGAATATTTTGACAGGATGAACCTAAAATTGCGCTTTTATTGGACTCGTTTGGAGTATGGTTCATCCCCGGAGCCAACAACAAAAGTAAGTCACATTTCCAAAATGAATACCTGTCAAATTTTATGTATTCTGGCTTCATTTGGCTCCTACAATACAATCGCATGATCTCACTAGCTATGATCACCAGTGTTGTAATCAATTTGGCACTTCTTTGGCCATCATTCTTATCCTTCGATAGACGCATTCGGCTTTTGTGTTCAGATCTGGTTAAATTTGCTCTGTTCGGGCATCCCTTCACGAACTCAGCTGTGTGGAAAAATTGCACAATTGTAACCACCAAACTGAACCTTTTTAGGTGGAAATGGGGATGTAAACAAACCAGCTGACCTGGCGAACTCTAACCTGTGATCGGGCGTTCTTTCCTTTTACTGTATCCCTATCGTTCTCCCCAACGATAGAGAAGGCCTGATGGCATGCTAGGCAAATCCCAGCGCACAACTCCCCTTACTAACGTACTTAGAATGCAACTCTTTTCAGAAAATATTTGAACTGAAATTTACTTTGAGGACAGATTTTACACCGACGAAATCCTTCTTTTTTTTGTTTTTTGTTTGTTTGTTTTTTTTTCTTTGCAAAATCTGAAATCCGCGCGTGTTTCCAAGTTTTAATCCAAAAACACCCTTAGATCAACATCGAGGCAATCAAAACGCCCCAAAAAAACTGCTTTTAAAAGTCTTTCTGGTACCTCTTTTTTGTCATACTATCTTTCGCTGCATTTCCTTTTTAGACAAGATATTAGATCTATAAGATGCAACAAAAATTATAAATTATCAGTGCCAAATTCTCAATAGCAGGAATGCTACCTCACGGTCAGTATATTTTTAGACGCAGCCCGCTCAAATATATATTGGGTCTGTCTCAACTTCCTACGCTCCACTGCGGAAGGAAATATCAGTGTTTGACCAGTTCAGAGCATTTCCACTTTTGGAAATAATTTATTTCACCAATCGGAACAAACTTATTATTATTTTAGTTACGTGATGCAAAGCAGGTTTTCATAATTTGGGAATAATTGATTTCTTGTTGTTGGACCTTAAACACAGCGCACTGTCTGCATTTCAGGTAACATTACGTTTATAATGATACGATCCAAAATCCTCTTCATACAGTTCTGGTCTGACCATAAAGGTTTACTTTCTTGTTGCGCTTAACGTTAAAAACGTACGTTATGGTTGAAGAAAGATGTTTTCGTCTTGTCTCGAGTGTGGGACGAGGGAAATAAAACCGGCTTTCGAGCGAGCTGGTAAAAGAAAATTACATTTACTATACACCGAAATGGTGACTAAAAATTGAAGTGGTATTCTTGTTGTTGTTTTAAGCTAGACTACTATAAGGTTCTTAAGACGACAGACACCAAATGTCTATCACAAATTTTAATTCGTAAGCTTTTGCTTGCATTGTTAAGCAAATTCTTCTTGTCAGCACGAAACGTACGTGTGAAGAATGTATACGGTATCGAAATAGAAAAGAACAGTACTTTCAAAAAGTCACATTCATTTGAGTTCCGTTAAATTAATAAAGAAATTTAAGTATGGTGAATGAAACAAAATTCTGAGTATCCTGCAAGAAAAAGAGCTATAGCTTCAGTTTCCGTAACTCCGTTTGCTGAATAAGGAAAAAGGATTTGTAGTTTTCTTGCAAAAGACTTTCTTTAGAAGAAGTGAAGTAAATCAGAAATCTTTATTACCCGATAATTGACTACATGCTAAATTATAGAAGTTGGTGTTTTCGTTCTTCTTCTTTTGTTGATGATCATTTCCGTTATTCTCGTGACCTTAACGTGTGATTCAGGGGTGTTACGGCCATAGATTTTCAGACTGAATCGGAGTCATCAATAAACCACGACGAGTACACAAATATGGTAACTTTAATGATCCAATACGTAAAAACTGAAACGAAGGATACAATGACCGACTGACATCATACTCGAATACCGAGGGATTGCAAACGACGATAAACAACATGAAACTACAAACTATTTTGAGGCGACAGACAATCAACGAACCTAATAACAACGAAAACGAAAACAACAACTACTACGTACCTCTATCCCAACTCTGGGTGAACAACGATGAAGGTACCAGAAATCTTACAAAATAACTTAGTGCTAACATAAAGCTCGAGCACCGCTCGCACGGATCATACTATTTTCTACACTTGACTGCGCACGCACAGTGACGTCATACGTAACGCAGTGGTAACGCTTAGAAGGCGTGATACTGTTACGAGAAGCTCAGTAGATACCAGACCCCCTTGGGGTCAAAGTGGCTTGAACTGGAGCTGTTTGATACAGAATTTCCAATATGCTTTTTCATCTTGATCTAACAGTTCCCTGCACGCCAACAATTTCAAGTTACTGTCACCTAGTCCTCACTGAGGTAAACTGGAAATTTAAACAACAACAAAACTAAAACAAAAAATATAACTCAATTAAATGTTATGGAGAATTGCGAGGACTAAAATTGAACTATCGTTTTTCTTCATTTCAAATGCGGAATCGCGTCGTAAAAGCAGCAGACAAACCGATCATTACATCATGACATGATTGTGATTGTGTATAACCATGTCAATAGGTTGGAAAGAAAGCAAACTCTCACTTTTTTTTACCTGTATACTAAGCTGTTTCTTTCTTTTATGCTCAGGGGATTTGGTAAACGCGCTACAAGTATCCTACTGGTGGAACACAATGACTTTGGACACCAGCGACAATACTCATAATAACGTCAGCCATGAAGTCTGGAGGAGAGCCCCAGCATCACAATGTATCCCTTGGCTTGTTGTAACCAGCATCGAGTCTTTGGCCATAATTTTTCTTAACGTCGTCACCATTATTGTATTTGTGAAGCAGCGTCGGCTACAGCGGGGAAGTACATTCTTGATCATCCACCTGGCTGTAGTCGATCTTTTGGTCGGAGTTGCAGGACCTGCTTGGATTGCCAGATTGGGAGACACCTGGTGTAATCTGTGGGGCGACAACAGCTCGACTGATGAAGAATCATGGATACGAATACAAAAAGTTTTCGAGTCGATATTCTTATTTGTGTCTCTTTTTAATCTCTCCGTTATTTCTCTAGAAAGAGTTCACGCCACTTTTTTTCCATTCAGGCATCGCTTTGTAAAAAACTGGGTTTATGGACTGTTAATAGCTGTTATATGGGTTGTACCTTTAGCATTAAGAGGAGCACAAATAGGGAGCCGGATGGGGCGCAATTCCAGCTTTGATTTCGATTTTATAATGTTACTTTCATACTTTGCTGTTCAACTTTCTGTGATTTGTCTTTCCTACATTTCTATATATGTCAAAGTTCGTTTCAGTCGTCATCCTCAACAGCACGGTGCAGCCGGTGTGAGAGAAAGAAAACTGACGAGCACTTTGTTTCTTGTCACTGTTGCATCGTTATTAACAATTTTGCCCACCATCATAAGATTAAGTATCATTGTTTTTGACTTCCAGTTCTTCACGAGCCTTTCAAAGCGATCAGCGATGGACTTTCTTCTTATAACCGTTGCTTTCTTGTTGACCAACTCGCTAATAAATCCCGTAATCTACGCCATACGAATGCCGGACTTGAGGGCAGGAATTTTAAGGATAATATTCCGCACGAGTTCAAAGCGCCCTCGTAAGGATGTTTTGCCTCTTCAAAATATTTAATTTATTCACCTGTTTCGAAAATACAGCATTATTTAAAATAATTAGATGAAAAAGTCCTATCATTCCTTATACAACCTAATATGGTTCTTCTAAGTGCACGCGTAAATTTATTTTAAAATTTCAATTTGAGGGGGTGGGGGTGTGTGGGTTGAGATGCCCATTGGAGCAAATAAATCGCAGAATATGGTTTATATGAAGTTCTCTTATGACGAGAGAAGTGTATGCATGTGTACGTGTTTCATAGTAGAGTGTAATAATAATGATATAACGATTCGGTTTTATTATGAGGGTTGCTAAAGTAAATTGGCCACCGCAAAGAGATTCTAAGCTGACTTTTCGAGCGTCAGAGCGAATGGAATACAGTTTTGTCATAAAAAGTAGTAGACTCCTTGTATTGTGTGCAATTTTGAGTGACTATGGTGCGATTCGTTGTGGGTGGATCTCGATGGGGGAGGCGGCATCACGTTCAGTGACGGTCGACGGTTTAAAATAAGCCCTTTTGACGGTTGACGGTTAAATTTTAGGTCATTTGATGATTGTCAGTTAATTTCTGGGAAAGTCGTTTCTAAAACGAACCAAACACTCGAATTTGGCCGTAATTTTTCATAACGACGCGTTTGTAAAGAACTGTTAGTTCAAAACACCTATTCTTAAAAAATGACTGACGTTTTACGACACAGGTGAAGTGTTTCCACACCGGAAGCCAATTCTGTCGCTAACCAGTTTTACTCGCGATTAGAAGTTAAAGGACTTACATAAATGTATTTTTGTGATGTATCAAAACTTTTATTTACGAACAACAGAATTTGACCCCAATTAAAGCAGTTCTTAATTAAGGATATCTGAGACATTTGACGGCTAACATTGGCTTGCTTTATATTTGACGGTTGACAGTAAAAATATTGCATTTTTGACGGTTGACGTTTGATATTTTGGCCATTTGACGGTTACCCTTTTGTAATATAATTTTGGCATCTGATCGGTCGAGAGGTTGGCGCGAGTTTTTCTGACTAATCGCAGCTAGAGCGCTGCAAGGGAAAACGGATAGAACACCGGATAAGTTACTAGGAGTCTGTAGCCGAAATCAAAAACAGATCTTTGGTTCGTTTATTTCTAAAACATAAGTGTCCCTCGATTTTGATCTTAAGAGTCACAGAATATCTCAAGGAAAACAGTTTGCAGTTCAAATCTTCCAAGTCCGATAAACAATGACGACGAAATGCCATCGTTAATTCTTAAATCATGTTTACTTTATTTGATCCTAAGGTCCTTTTATGGTCAACCGTTTTGAGTAGCATTTCAGATCGGATACTACTTTCCGGTTCCAATCTTAGACACAGCTTCAATATATTGTGAAGTATTTTTGCATGATGCCCATGACGTCAATGAGTGTCACCGTCTTTAAATGAAAAATATAAATACTCGACCATCGTGATGACTTTGCTAAATATTCCTAGGCAAAGTTTACGGAATCACAGAGTTTCTTTTGTAACTCATCATTCTTTACTTTACCTAAATCCCAAATGTATCATGATTACACTCGTTGACACACTTTTTTAACTTTATTTAAGTGCTTTCTTAAGCTTGGTTCTTGTGGTGCTTTTTCTGAGAATGATGCCGAAAATAACGCTCTTATCTTGCAAATTTCCTGACTTCGATGAAACAAGCATCTTCGTATTGTCATACTTTGCTTTTATTCTTTCCGCGATTTGCAATTCCTATATTTCTGTATGATGGACGATCCTCGCAGTAGATAGCGCTATTTATGCA